GGCAGACACAACACTGACTGAACACGGGGATATAGGAACTTAGGATACACATAGACGCGAACTAGACAAGGGGATGCAGGTGATAGGGGAGACAGAGCAACTAAAGAAGACAAAGACATAAACCATAAGACAGAACTCAAAGAAACCAAAAACTAGAAAGTATAAATAATATAATAAACTCAAAAACCCTGGGTCAACGACCCAGGCATCCTAACAGTCTCAATCATAAACTCTGAATGTTGTTGTTTCTCTTTTATAACTCAGGTCTTCAGGAACAAGGCATCAAGTCTCCACAGGTGTTCCTGGTGTCCAGCTTCAAGCTCCATCTGTACGATTTCTCTCTCTTACATGAGACCTTAGCGATAGACCTTCCTGCATACAAGAGAGATGCTCTGCTGTTTGCCATGCCCAACATCAACCTGGAGATCATCAACAAGAAGAAAGAAGCGTTTCAGTCTAAAATAAAATACTGGGCTACTTCGTCTGCAGCTGCAGCAGGGGCTCCAGTTCCTGGACTTTCCATTTGTATGGACCTGTCCATGATGGTTGATTTAGCTATAGATTATGTAGTTGGGTTTGGGCTTGATAAGCCATCACTGCAGAGACTCTCTGCCAGCTCGGGTGTGCCCTACACTGAGCTGCTTAATGTCCTTAAATCACCACTGGCTACAGCAAAAATAACCAAAGATCTCCTTCTGAAGCTGTTGTCCCATCTGACCGGCACAGTTGCACTGATGGCACTAGAGGAAGGATCCAGGTGGATTCCATTAATAGGAATCCCTCTGGCTATGAGCCTCTCCTTCATCACAACCTACAGAGCTCTGAATTGTTTCCTCACTGAGCTCGCTGATGATGCTCAGAGGGTGTTTAAAAGGGCTCTGGGTCTGAACACCTCAGTGTGATATTATAAATGGCAACTTCTTTAATGACACTTAAAACTAGTTTAAGCCAAAAAAATGAGGTTTTGATCTTTTTTAAAGTAGATTGTATTAAATTCACCAGTCATCGACCGCATAAATTATAACCGAGGCTTGTAGTATAGAGTAGTTCCTCTGATCAGAGCAGAAACAGCAGAGTAACTTCTCCCAGCTTCTCACACTCAAACTCTCAAACTTTCCATCACATCACAGGAACTAATGTGATCTTATTATTCAGATATGAACTGTGTATACTGTAGAAGAGCTACTGAATCATTGCAATGATGTGTTTCTTTGTTCTTTGTGTTGTTGTTATTGTCAGCACTAGAGTGTGATGAGTCTGATTGTTTTGTTATCACATCATAGCATCCAGCATAGTAAATACCAGCTACTAAAGAGTGGATGATGTAATGTGATAAAACAGAGGTGTGTAGAACAGAAACTGCTCTGTGGTGTTTGTGTCCTGTTGACTGTAGTTTGTGATGAGTGTTCACTGCCCTCCAGGGGTCACAGTGAGGAACTACAACACAAATAATACAGATATGACTGCATGTTCATCAACGTTATTCCTGCTTGCTTATAATAAAATGTTATTGATAAAGATATTAACATTAATTGTTATTAGAAGTAGTAGTATTTGATTTTGATGAAACAATAGATTCCACTGCATCAAACAATACATTGTAATGAGTTCTTATCTTGGGTGTACAGAATATTAGAAACACTAGTTTGACACAGATCATTCTTACCTACAAAAGACTTGAGCTTTTTCTGTCCTAATGTAGCTAAATAAAACATATTTAAAAGTCTGCTGCTGCAATTAATCATTATTTTCTTTCAAAACGAATTGGTTTTTAGATATTTGGTCTATAGAAAAATTAAGCAGTGGAAGAATCTCTGGTTTTCTCTCATTAAATTACAGAAGAATTTGTCCATAGGGTCATCAATAAATGCACTCATACTTTCACCCAACACGTTCTCATCACAACACTTAACAAACCAACGCTATGTGACAAATCCTCGGTATGTTACGCGTCCAGAGGCATGAGAGCAGGTTGGAATGAATCTATAAATGTAAGGTCAGGGGCAGATGTAGAAGGGTGGCATGTTACTCCCAGAAAGCTACACAACATGGGGCGGTTTAGCTACAAGCAAAGTCTAACTTAAGTTTGACACGTTTTTGTTAGAAAAAAAAACAAATTGTTGCTTAAATTTACACTTAATGTCAGAAATCTGGGCTGTCATGAACAAAAACAGTATGCAATATATTCAGTTTTAGAATTTATATTCAGTGTTAACTGTAGCTGCACTCAAAGTGTAAATGCTACCTTATTTTAATAAACAACACATTTATATGCCAAACTAGGGTGGAACTAGAGGAGGCAAGAGATCATTTTAGGATTTTATACTTATTGGGCTACTTATTGGGCGATCGTGGCTCAAGAGTTGGGAGTTCGCCTTGTAATCGGAAGGTTGCCGGTTCGAGCCCCGGCTTGGACAGTCTCGGTCGTTGTGTCCTTGGGGAAGACACTTCACCCGTTGCCTACTGGTGGTGGTCAGAGGGCCCGGTGGCGCCAGTGTCCGGCAGCCTCGCCTCTGTCAGTGCGCCCCAGGGTGGCTGTGGCTACAATGTAGCTTGCCATCACCCGTGTGTGAATGTGTGCGTGAATGGGTGGATGACTGGATATGTAAAGCGCTTTGGGGTCCTTAGGGACTAGTAAAGCGCTATATAAATACAGGCCATTTACCATTTACCATATTTATTATTATATAGACTATACAGTACATAAAATCAAAATTCACATGTTTTATCTAACTAAAGTGTTTAATTATGTGGGCTACATAAAATAATTACGTTATAGACTATATTTTATATGAAACGTGTATACTTACTGCATTTGACTCATTTTAACCATCTGTAACACCTGCATATGTGTTAAAAAATGGCTTTGATTTTGCCACCCCATATGATTTCCATGCCACCCTAAGACAATTTCCGCCCCTTACCTAACCCTAATGCCGAACACTAACCTTAACTGGACCATATCATAGGGTTCAGGTTGTGGTTAAGGTTCAGCGTGGTTAAGGTTAGGGTTAGGGCTGCAATAGAAAGCCATGAAGCAAATAAAACGTGAAGCACATAGAAAGCTTCAATTAAGAATCTGGAGCGTCTCATAAGGATGCGGATGTTACTATGACATGCATCAGGCCATGACAAATTGTCAGTATGTGTCACGGGCACAGGAGGGACTCAGACGCAGACTAGAATCACAGAAATCAGTTTATTTTCTTCACACCGAGTACTAATCAAGTTGTGTTAAAGGCGTGGATTGCGCTTTTAAAGATTTTTTTTTATTTTGGTCAGCTGTCTCAGCTGAAAGAAACTCGATTCCACCTGCTGATCATCCCATCAACCTAACCAAGGAAAAAAATGTCAGATTAGCTTGGGTAAAAGCCCGAAAGTTGAGACACACAACGATGGGTGCCACAGGTAAAGTTTCTGGGCTGCCTCTCCTCATAACAGCCATCCCGCAAGATTTTCTCCATTTAAAGCAATGAATTATCATGGAATGGAACATCTAATCCTTTTACTGAATCTTATCATCCCAGCAGGGTATCTGATGAGCAGCAGGGTGTAGGTGTTGATTGCCCAGAGCTCAGTCACTGACAGGTCAGAGTCAGAAAACTCATCAACAGATTCTCTCTTAGATAGTTTTCTCTCTCTCAGGGTAACACCAGGGCTGTGAGGTGGTGAAATGAGGTTGAGTGCAAGAAAACCAGAGTCAGCTTATTAACATAGAGTGCTAATTTCATTAAGGGGATGACTGAAAGATTTCTCCCCCATCTTAAGTAACATGACAAACGGCTGAGCTCATAAACTTCAGGTGAGCAGAAACAAAGAGCAGGAAACTAGAAGTGGTCCTTCCCAGCAAGACAATGGCATGGTTAGGTGCTCACCCACCTAAAATGATGACAGAGGTCAGTAATTTGCACCAGAGGTACACTTCAACTGTGAGAGACAGAATGTGAAAAAAAAA